CTCCTGGTCCTGGGCCAGACCTATGTTTCCGACACTCCCTCCCATCTGCGGCCCCCATTTAGTGCCCATTTTCCCTTGTGTCCCCTCAAATCACCTGAAAAATTTAAAAAATGGGGAAATCCACTGCTAACGCCCCAAACGTTCTGGTCTTTCTACACATGACTCCAGTTTAGCAGAAGCCTTCCTGAAACAGAGGGGTCCTGAAGTGACAGCTATCAGATAAACTACAGGATGCCCACTTACATCTGAATTTTAGGGAGACCAAATCCTGTTCTGGTATGTCCCGTGCAATACTTGGGACCTACCTCTACGACAAAATGACTTGTTGCTTATGTGAAATTCAAATGTAACTGGCTGTCAGATATTTCTATTTACTAACAAGGCAGGCAGAGGTGATTGCCAGGGGCCTCTCAGGACGCCTGGCCCAGCCCACTTCCAACCCAAACCGCCTCTCATGCAAGAGGATGCGCTTCCTCCCTCACTCCTGTGGACTCCTCAGGCCCTGGGCACTTCCACTGGCCTTGGGCTTGCCCTCCCTTCGGGGCCGTATCTTGCCTCACAGGACAAGGGGCCGACACTGGCCTTCCATCTGCCCCCCAGGAGTCCAGCTCAGTGCTGAGGCCAGCCATGGAGAAAGAATCCGACGCCATGGTCCAGGCCTCACCATTGCACCTGATGACTGGTACCTCCCAGCTGTCCTCCCAGTTCTTGAACTCATTTAGCAAAGATCCATGCAGGGCTCACTGTGTCACAGGACACGGCAGTGAGCCCAACAGACCCACGACTGCCCTTGCTGAGCTGACAGCCTACTAGGGGTTACCCTTCTTAAGGCTCACGCAGATTTTATTTATTTATTTGACAGAGTGAGAGAGAGCACAAGTAGGCAGAGTGGCAGGCAGAGGGAGAGGGAGAAGCAGGCTCCCCACGGAGCAGGGAGCCCGATGCAGTGCTCGATCCCAGGACCCTGGGATCATGACCTGAGCCGAAGGCAGATGCTTAACCGACTGAGCCACCCAGGCACCCCTCTCCCCCACCTTCTAAAGTCAGGACATTTTGGGGGCTTAAGAAAACACGTGAGAGAAATGGCCGCCACCTTTTCCCAGGCCAGGTGAGGCTCTGGAACTCTATAGGTGGGAGTCTAGAGCCACGGATGGGGTGGCGTGAGGGATGGGGACACTGTTCCTGCTGGGAAGTCCCCCAAACGAGGGGATTATGCCCGATTAACAATGTCTTTAAGTTATAGACTGTGGATTTAAAAGTAATCCCTGCATGCAGGCAGCTCCCTCCTGGGTCCCACCTGCAGGGAAGGGAAACGACCAGATCTTCTTCCCCTGGAATTAAGAGGGGCTCAAGCCTGGGAGCTTGAAGAGACTTGAGGCCCAGTTATGATTTCAGCCTCATTGTGGATAAATGGCTTGTGGGTGCCGAGCAGAGAAGCTAATCAGTGTTTGTCAGACTGTTTTCTGACTACAGTTACATTTGCTCAACAGCCAACATAAAAACAAACTCCTGGATCAAAACCATCTGATGATAAGCTGGAAACTGCTTGTACTTTAAACCAGTCACTTTTTGTATCTAAAATTCATTTTGCTGATTTCTAGATAAACCATGACTGTTTCCCACCCCTCCCCCGCAAGAGTTGTTCCTGGCAGGGTAATTCCTCCTTGAACTTATGATAAACCAATTAAGGTTTCCTCTTATTTTAGCCAAGTTTACTTCATCTTGGATAGAAAGGACAGAAAAAGGAGAGTAAAGGCAAAAAAAATTCCATTATTTATTATTGTTATCTGCTACCACTGCTGCTAGGATAGTATCGAGAGTGGCCGCCATCTAATGGATGTGTAGTTCGCTATTACCTCTGGATTTGATCAAGCACCTAGGACATCCTCACAAAGAAGCCTCATGTCCGGGACGCCCGGGTGGCTCAGTCGTTAAGCATCTGCCTTCGGCTCAGGTCATGATCCCGGGGTCCTGGGATCGAGCCCCGCATCGGGCTCCCTGCTC